GGAAGTCTTTATTTAAGAAGTGTAATAACTCTAAAATTCAATACTAGTCTCCGTCCCATTTCACGGATGCATCGCATTGAGAATTGACTCGTCGGATTAACCACATCATCTCCCACAACGCAAGCACCATTGTTCGACACCACCCGAGAAGCAAAAGATTCGTCAGTCCAGGCTGAAAATACATGCATAGATAGTGGTTTAATGCCAAGGCGATAGGATGCTAAAGTAAGGATTGTTTTGACTATTATTTAAATATTATTATGTTATATTATTAAATATGTAATAATATTTTTTGTGCTAATAATTACATTCATATCTTATTTTACTTATAGGTTATTTTTTAAATTGATGATGTGTGATATTATGTAAGATAAAAATTATATTATTTATAATTCATAATATATGATGGTATAATACAGAATAATTATTCGAACAAAGTATTACTTTCTTTGTCCTGATTTATATGAGATGAGATGATTGAAATTTCAAGATTTAAATTAATAAATTTTAACGATAAGTTTCAACAGAAATAATTCAAGTGTTTTGAAACAGAAATTTATATGTTTAAAAATTATATTAAAATATTATAAATCACAATATTTAATAAATTAAAATATATAATAGTAAATTCCAATTAAATTTATTTTGGATTTGACTCTTGATTTGGACATATTGGGATGGAGGAAAGTATAAATGGACAAATAATTCAATGAGTTAGAATTTGAGTTATTTGTAAACTCTTCATGCATGTACTGTTACATTATATAAAAAGACGCACTCGGGCCTCTGTCTCTGCCGCTGCAAAAAATTCAGCAAATTGACGTGCAGATTCAAACTTAAAAACCCTAGAAATTAATCCTCTTTTTGTTTTCGGCCTTCTTCCATGGCCGTAAACATGGAAAAAAAGGATCCAGATATTGTAATTCCTGAAGAAGAAGAAGACGATGAATCTCCAATCGAACAAGTTCGTTTAACCGTATCGAACGACGATGATCCGTCTCTACCTGTATGGACATTCCGAATGTGGTTCTTAGGGCTGTTGTCCTGTGCATTGTTATCGTTTCTCAACACTTTTTTCAGTTACAGAGCTGAACCATTGGTGATATCGATGATTACTGTCCAGGTAGCGACGTTGCCGATTGGTCGTTTAATGGCTAAGGTGTTACCGAAGAGGAAGTTTACGATTAAATCGTGGGAGTTTTCGTTCAATCCAGGGCCGTTTAATGTGAAAGAGCATGTATTGATTTCGATTTTTGCTAATGCTGGCTCTGCTTTTGGGAATGGACCTGCTTATGCTGTTGGAATTGTGGATATTATTAAAGCTTTTTATTTCAGGAATATCACTTTTTTGGCTGGTTGGATTCTTGTGGTTGCCACTCAGGTTGAACCTCTTCTAGAATTAAAAATCCATTAACATTGCAACAAATACTACTTCAGAACCCATAATTTTGGATTCGTGCTTAAAATCTTAAAAGTTGATTACATAAGATTTTCATCGTCAATTCGCCTTTGCATATATGCTAGTAATTGTTAGTTAAATCATTCCTACCAGGATTTTGACCACGATAACTCCATGAGAATGGCACATAATTATTTATATCTATGTATCGATGAAGGTATCTATTTAATTTGCTAAGCCTGACTGAGTTCCATCATGAAGATGTTGTGAGCCTTAGACCTTAGTTTCTGTTTGGAAAATATTTGAACTTCAAGACTTTTCAACTCTTCATGCTAATTGAAGCAATGAAAGTATCTATTTAACTTTTCTATCTTTAGTAAACAACTTCAAAAAATTCATGTAAATGGTACTCCGATCAAGGTTGCAGGCATGCTAATATAATGTTTGTGTATCAGGTTCTGGGATATGGCTGGGCAGGGATTATGAGGAAGTATGTGGTAGACCCTGCAGAAATGTGGTGGCCAAGTAGTCTGGTTCAAGTTTCTCTTTTCAGGTAATTTCTAAAAAGAAATTCAAACTTTCCCCATGAAATAGCATATAGCCTCTTATCACGAATTGCTCGTGGTTGGGTGCTTTTTGATTATTTTTTTTCCTCGGAAATTCTATCTAAGAATACTTGCATCTTCTTTTGGCTTAATTTGAGAATCTTGATGCATAATTGTTAATGTATCTGATAAATGTAAATTATCATAAATTTGGCAGGGCTCTCCATGATAAAGAAGTGGAAGGCAAAACCTCAAGAGGGAAATTTTTCTTAGTTGTACTAGCTTGCAGCTTCATATGGTACACTGTCCCTGGTTTTCTCTTCCCAACGCTGTCAAACTTATCTTTGCTCTGTTTGGCCTATCCCAAATCAGTGATAGCCCAGCAAATTGGTTCAGGCATGAAGGGTCTTGGAATTTTATCCTTCACTTTTGATTGGGCAGTTATAGCATCATATCTTGGTAGCCCTTTAGTTTACCCCTTTTTCGTCATTGTCAATGTCATAGTGGGTTATATTGGAGTAGTCTATATATTGATTCCAGCTTCCTATTGGGGGTTGAATCTCTACAATGCCAAGAATTTCCCTCTATTCTCCTCGGAGCTATTTGATGCTCGGGGGCAGATATATAATGTTACAGCGATTGTTAATGATAAGTTCGAGATAGACAAGGTATCATATGCACAGCATGGACGCATACATCTCAGCATGTTCTTTGCTGTTACTTATGGCCTGAATTTCGCAGCTGTTATGGCTACTCTCTCTCAAGTTGCTCTATTTAATGGAAAGTAAGTGCTATATTCAACATTTTCTCCACTTTTTAGTCACTTCTTTTCCCTTATGGATCTAGACTGAATGCCTTGACAGAAAGCACTGTATGTAGCTTGGACTTATGCATATAATGCATGTCTGCAAGGGAAACCAAAATGTAGTACTCTTGTTGATGTTGTAGGAGCACTTGGCTATTTTCAGATAGTTTTCTATGTTGGTTAAGGCTTTCATAATGAGTTAACCAAGTAGAATAGAACTTATAGATGAACTGAAAAAATAAACTCTGAGAGAGAGAGAACCCACCCCCCACCTTCTCCTTACTTGGCCAAATATTATTCAACTTAGACATGGTTCCTATTGGTTTAACTCATGAACCATATTAATGCTGCTAAGAGAATTATACTGATAAGTTCACTGAACAGGGAAATAGTTCAGCGATTCCGAGCCTCATACAAAGGAAAGCCTGATATTCACACAAGACTTATGATGAAATATAAGGACATCCCTAACTGGTGGTTTTACCTCACTCTTGCACTTTCATTGGCTTTGTCGCTTGTCCTATGTATCTTTATGAAAGATCAAGTTCAGCTTTCGTGGTGGGGGCTTCTCCTAGCAGCCTGTCTTGCTTTGATATATACCTTACCAATAAGCATCATAACAGCCACCACAAACATGGTTAGTTTAGCAAATTGAACACATGTTACCTTTTGTGGACTGCATTCATCCTCTATTAAACAATTTTTTGCTTCTGATTAACAGTCACCAGGATTAAACGTGATCACAGAATATGTTATTGGTATGATAATCCCAGGGAAACCAATAGCCAATGTCTGCTTCAAGACTTTTGCGTATATGAGTATGAGCCAGGCTGTTTCTTTTCTCCAAGATTTTAAGCTTGGTCATTACATGAAGGTTCCTCCAAGGTCAATGTTCATCGTTCAGGTATGCCTTTCTTGTTTTCTTCCTCTTCAATTGTTTCCATTAGAAGTATTAATCACTTATACTAGTCAATGGTTAGTGTTGGACACATAAGGAGTCCAATCTATTGATCGTAGGAAGAAGAAGAAACTATAGCAATTGTACTGTTTCTTGATGCTACAAGAGACCGACTAAAACTTCTATTTTTTAAAACAGCTTGTTGGAACCATACTTGGTGGTACAATCAATATGGGTGTCGCATGGTGGCTACTTAATAGCATTGACCACATATGCCAACCTAACTTGCTTCCTCCCAACAGTCCATGGACCTGTCAGAGCGACAGAGTCTTTTTTGATGCATCAGTTATCTGGGGATTAGTAGGACCCCGAAGAATATTCCTAGGCCTTGGAGAATATGGTGCCCTCAATTGGTGCTTTATTGGAGGTCTTGTGGCACCTTTTTTGGTGTGGTTGCTGCACAAATCATTCCCAAGGCAAAGTTGGATTAAATTGATCAACATTCCAGTACTTCTTGCAGCTACAGCCAGTATGCCTCCAGCAACAACATTGAATTTCAACAGCTGGATTGTCGTTGGAACAGTGTTCAATTTCTTCGTTTTCAGATACAGAAAGCAATGGTGGCAGAGGTACAATTATGTCCTATCAGCAGCACTAGATGCTGGAGTGGCTGTAATGGGAGTGGTTCTGTTTTTCTGCGTTACTGTTTGGAATGTTAACTTCTCTTGGTGGGGAACTGGTGGAGAGTATTGTGATTTGGCTACTTGTCCCACGGGCAAAGGCATTTTTGTCGATGGATGTCCCTTGACCTGATTCTCTATTAGGTTTTTGTTTTTATTAGTTTAGTTAGGCTCCATACAGATATGTCCTTTCTTTTGTGGTTAGTTTTGTGATATAAGCATTCTAAAAGCAATACTAGTAGTTGCTTTCACCAATCCAAATACTTTACCCTCTTTTATTATTGATGATGAATTGATTTAATCAAACTCTTGGATTAAGCAGCCTTTCACTTGTTTAAACCTCAGACCCAATAATCTGCAAAAGCTCTTTGGATTAAGAAGCCTTTTTCTGTTGTTGGTTTTGCATTCTCAAGTCTTCAGTCTAAATAGTGAAATGACAAAAGTAAAAATCTATATATCTACATGTAATTCTGTTCCAGAATTATAAAGGTGTATACTTCTGTTGCTGCCTCTAGTCTGGCGAAAAGCTTTTCCCATTTGATAGATCAAACTGGTAAAAACGAAGTCACAGAAGCCCTAAAATGACAACTGAAACCACGAGAACAAACTAAAGACCAATGAGAACTTAATACCTTCGGAAGACGGGAGAGGAAAGAACAGCAGCAGTATAAAGTCAGTGTTAAAGACCATAAGGCATTTCCCAAGAGAACGTGATCATTGCAAGTTAAAAGTTCAGTTCGATCTATAGCCTCAACGTCCTACAAAAAAAGGCATAACAAACATAATCTCATCTGTTTACATCCTATGTGTTGACTTTCATTAATCATAGGGTATTTGAATATAAGCTGCATCACACACAAATGGTACATCAGCATACATCCCAGCAAGTGCGCATCTTATGGACTCTAAAACTGTGAACAGATAGGCAAATGCAACAGCCGTCCAAAAGTGCATACCAACCTTGCCCCAGTATACTGCAAGTGGCATCCAACGGCTTATAGTCCCAATAACCTGCAGTGCAATCTCAAGTAGCATCCCCATCACCACATGAAACCTAAAAAAATGAGGCCATTCCTTTCTCCTCACTATACCAAGATAAGCAACAAAGAAGTATGCCATTAAAAACCAGCTCGGTAATCTCCCAATAGCTCCCAGGAAAGGGTATGTCAGAAACTCCAAATCTTCCAAGAAGGGATGGAGATGATATGCTGTCTCAGCATACATCCAAGTCTCGTGAAGAGGCATCAAGTAAGGGAGGCATGCTAAGGTTCTCCACCACCATCTTGGCTTTTTGGTCATCGGAGGGAATCTGTAACTATAGGGGACATCTTTCGATGCTCTAGGGGAAAAGGACAATTGGCTTCGTCTTGGTAACTGTGGAATAGCATTCAAAAGACCACCATATTCACCGCCTAAAAGAAGCGATGACGCAGAAGAGAGATCAAGGAAGCTGAATCCTGCACTGACAACTCAACTTTAATAGGGAAATTAGCTTTATATCTTTCAACTAATAGAGTCAACAGAAAAGAATTATACCATAAGCTTGTAGGCATAAGATATATTGGATTAAAGATCTGTTGACTACCTTGTTCCCTCTATCATCATTCTTACAATACCGAATCGTCTAAAAGAATATTATGTATGACTACTTAAACCTCTATTTTACAGTAGCTGCCTTTGCACATTTATCTATTTGAACAGTAAGAGAACAGTAGCAAAAAGGAACGGACGGAAATACATCTACAACAAACAACATCCACCAAACATGGGTGCATAAGGATTTGAGCCATTTCAGTTTTTAGTTTAAGTTTTTGA